TTGTAAAGACAAAAACTGTTACACAATATTGAAGTCTGATGCACTCATACAGAAATTCATTGGTTAATGATTATGGTCTATAATAGCTGCACGCTATCGAATCCTGGGGTGCACTTCATTTTTCATAAGACCGAATCGAGTCTTGCGAAAACCTCATTTTTATATATAGAAAATCCATCTGTGTGTTCTCCTTCCACCTCAGGGTCCTGGTCCAGTATGGTGGGCAGTGGTGAGAACATTGGGAAGCTCGGCTTGATTCCTTGTGCCATCTCCTGGCTGTACAGCGCCATCGAGCGCCGCAGAGAGAGGACGTGGACCGATCTCAGTGTGTCAGTGTCTGCCATCGAACTGTGCTGCGGGGAGGAGGACACACTGAGGGATCTGCTGGGGGAAGTGGTTCCATCATTAGGCAGCATCCACGACAGCCCGAAAGCCCACATTAAACTCCAGGAGGACCCGGTCTACGGAGCCCAGGTAGAGCAGAAGGTTTTACCATTAAGAGAAGGGATTGTTAAACTCCTCCCACTGTGCCTCCCTTACCTCTGCACGCTGTGGCCCAGTGACCCACATTTGTAGTGGTGGAGTTACTGTTGTTGGCATAAAAGTCTAATAAATCTTCATAAACACACAAACCCAAAGTAGACAACAGGGAGCAAAGGTGCTACTGTTTACTGCGGATAGGAGACAGCAGCCGCAGTAAACAGTAGCACCTTTTAAAGTTATTCTAGTTGTTTCAAAGAGACGGTATTCTCACACGTTCATGCCAACTGGATTAGTTAGATTAGTTCGATTAGATTAATAGATTAGTTGTCTGTGGTTCCTGCGAGCTGGCGTGAGTGTGCGCCCTCTGGATGTGAGAAAGTTTCATTCATCTTTATTTAGACAGGCTGGATAATGGTCCGCACTGTGGTGGAAAAGATGATGGTGCTGGGAGTGAAACCTATTAAGCTGCACAGCACATATGATCTGATTACACGTGTTTGTGTGTGGGCACCACATCCTCTGTTTTTCAGTCGACACTTGAAGAAGGACTGAAACCTGAATGTTTTGCTGCTGAGACACAAGATTCATTCTAACAATATTGAACCTGTTTCTAAACGAACAGTGATTAGCAACAGGGGGATGAATGTGACAGGTTAAAGAGCTGATTTTACAGCAAATCTGCTTCTTCTCTCCTTCAGCTACACAACCACAACCGGGTGAAGGCCCCCACCGCCGAGCGCGCTGCTTCCCTCCTGGACGCGGCCGTCGCAGCGCGTCGGCACAGCGACTTTATCACGTACCTGTGTGACAGCTCCATCATGTTCTTCACCCTTCACGTCCAGCCTCCGCGCACAGAGAGCAGCACCATTGGAAAAGGTTGCAGTGAAATATTCAGATCTTTTCTGATTTGCATCTGTGAAATCTTTTTACCTCCTCTAAAGTCCAACTGTATAACGTCCTCAGGTTCCCGCGGCACCACCAAGTTGACCATGATAGACGTGTGCAGTGGTATGAGGGGTGTCAACAAAAATAAACCCCCCCATTCTGAGCTGGGCCCAATCGTCCTGTCTCTTCTAAGTGGACAGAAAACCACCGCGAACAAGTAAGAACTGGAAACAAAGGAGGAAAGTTTGTTCATTAAAAACTTCCTGTTTTCTTTCACCTATTTATACTCCGTGTTTACAAGCTGCAACACTGTGAACACCCCAAACTGCAAATTATTTTGGTCCCAGTCTGTTTCAATGTTTCCTACACATACACCATGTATATAGTTCCACTCACATATGTATACATATACACAGTTTTTTATTTTATTCTATTTATTTAATTATTTATTTATTTTCCACCTTCGTTGTATATCGGTTTCTCTTCTTCATACTTTAGCACCTTTGTGGTTCAGCTACACAATTTCGCTGTGCAAGAAACTGCACAATGACAATAAAAAGTCTAAATTCTTATTGTAACTCTGATATTTATTTATTTTCTTCTCCTTTTTATGTCGATTTATTAGCTTTTTTTGCACTGATGTAACCGGAGCCTCGTCGTCTCGTATGCTGATGACAATAAAGTTTACTTTGACTTGGTGCAGTTAAACCTGCGACCACAATGCAGATACTCACATGACGCTGCACTGTTTCTGCAGGAGTGGGAAGCTGACTTTGCTCCTTCGAGAGTCCCTGGGCCACACAAGTTGCCACACCACAGTAATTGCTCAAATCATGGACTCTTTGGCACACCTTCAAGAGAACTTCTC